TAAATGTGCTATTGTAAAATTAGAGACTTTAAAGAATGTGAAAATACGTTTGGTTCTTTTAATAATAATTCAAAATGAACACTATCAACTACTTAAACCTGAATATGTTTTGATTGGAAGTTTAACATTTAAATGAATACATTATTGCACGTTTGTTTTAAGGGGGCAAGAGAAGAATACATGGCCAATGGCTATTCTATGGGAGAATGAGATAGTCTAGTACATCTTTTTTCTTGTCTACTCTAGTGGTTTTTGTATGTGTGTCAAATAGTACAAAACCAGGGAAACAAGGAGAATCCAGAAAATTCAGCTATTTAAGGAAAAGTACTGTAGATGAGATTCAAAGCAAGTCCTTCATTTGCTAGGATAACCAGGAATACGTGGTCACCATATTCATGTAAGAGGTAAGGCAAAGGAAAAAGTGTCATGTCAAGAAACTGAATGAGTCCTAGAGAAGAAATATTGTCCAGAGTTGAATTTTTATTTTTAGTGTGGCCTCATTACTGTAGACATGCTATTAAACAACGAACAGCAATAGAAATTTTCACACATTCTTATTTAATTTACATTGAATTGCCCAGTCTACCTTTATCCTTTACTCCCTCTAAAGAGAGACATTCTCTTTTCATCTTTTCCTTTATGTTTGAACAGCCTTTAAAAAAATAAATACTTAGCTTTTTTTTTTTAGAAATCACAAGATTGCTAACAGGCAAACATCAGGAAGTCACATCTTCATTCAAATAAACCTCAAAGTGATAAAGGGTTTCCAGGGCTGCTGTCTAGCCTAAAAACTCAAATCGAGGATCATATTTAATCAAGTGTGCTTATGCTATTTTCTGTACATTAAAATTTTCTTAGTCTTATAACAAGATCAAAGGTATCCTTGTCAGTACACTCTAATTTGTTGACTAAATTTTCTTTAGAAAATGTGAAGTTATATAAAGTTATGTTAAATCAAGACCTATTGGGTTTTGTTGGAATTTTAGATACACGCCTAACCTAAATCCCAGTTAATATGACCTTCTTTAATAGTCCTTCATGGAATTAATCTCCTTAAATTTTTGCCTCTCTTACCTGTGTAATCTCTATGCAAGGATTCTACATGATACCAAATGGCTACAGATATGTTTTCCTCAATGAAATAGTCTTCCTGCCAGTGTATCTAAATGCCTGCTGTGAAATAATTATGAAACTAATCCTTTTTAATGCAATGTTCAAGTCACAAAGAGAGTTTAATAGCTACGAAAGAGATAAGTCAAAAAAGGCATTATAAAATTTACTTGATAAAGTATCATAAAGTTACACAAGGAAAGAGACAAAATAAAATAAATTCCCCTAATGTGCCGCAAATATCAACCACCACACACTACCTACAAGCCATATGTTTTTTCCATCTGTTCTGTTATCATCAACTAAATTTATAGTATTTGGGCTATCAGAAGGATTGTCAAACACGAGCTGGGCATGATTTTAAAACCTAGGTGTTACTGATAGTTGCTTTTTCTTTCCTCTCTATTTTTTTTAGAGAAGCTACCCACCTCTATGCCATCCCAGAATTGATGCTATTTCTTGTGTTCAGATTAAGATTCTTCCAATATTTCTGAGGAATGTGAATTAGTCCTCAGGAAGCTTAGATCAGTCCTGGAGCCACTGATCACCTACTGCTTTCAATGTCTCAAATGATGGCTACTGGACAGAGAAGCTGGAATTTCTAAAGATAAATATGATTCTTCCAAGTGCAGAAGTGCTAGATTTGTGGCCTTGGATTGGTGGATTACGGCGTGTGGTAGGCAGAATTCTAAGGTGACCCCTCAATGACCCAAACCCTTGTATAAGCCCCTCCTCTTGAATGGTAGAGAAACCTGCTGATTTCTTCTAGCCAATAGAATATGGCAAAGGTGATGGATAGTCACTCCTGTGATTACGTTATATTATATAAGCCTCCAGTTTAGCAAACTGCAGTGAAAGATTCTTCAGCTGGCTTTGAAGAATTAAGTTGCCATATTGTGAGGAGGCCTGTGAGTAGGCTGTGGCAAGGAGCTGTAGGGGCCTCCAGGAGCTGAGAGCAGCCCCCAGTCAGCAAGACATCAGGGACCTTAGTACTCGGAAGGAACTGAATTCTGCCAACACTACATGAGTTTGGAAGAGAACCCCAAGCTTCTGAAAGGATCACAGTCTGGCTGATACCCTGATTGCAGCCTGTGAGACCCTGAACAGAAGACCTGGTTAAGCTGTGCCCAGACTCCTGACCCACAGAAACTAAGAAACAAAAAATGTATATTATGAAATGTCTAAATTTGTGGTAATTTCTACATAGCAATAGAAAGTGAATACAATGCATGTGAAAGGATTTCAATAGCTTCTTAAAAGTGAGTGAGGGAAGCGAAGCAACACATCTCCCATGTCCTTACTTTCCTAATGGAGGCAGGGGTGGGCCTTGAGGAAGAAATCTTTAAATATAAACAGAAATCTTCAGATGTATTTCTTTCCAGGATTTGGTCTTTGATACCAAAAGAATATTGTGTATGGCTTTTGAATTTTTCAAAATATTAAGAGGCAAATAGCTTTATTATGAGATAGAGTGAAGACTCTTTCTTCTTTCAAGACATGTTTAAGTAATTTTCCTATGAAAGTAATTTCAAATCAATCAAAAATTTATTTTTAAAAGTTGTAAACATAAATATTAAAATGGACCCATAGATGTTGAGTGCAATGTCTGTGAAATAGTTTGTAACATATGTGTATCTCAAGAGCAGGACCATAGGTAGGTGACATACCATAAAACATATGGTATTTTGGCCAAGAATTCCAGGAAGCAAGGGCACATACTTTTCCACGAACCTACAACCTGAGATCACTATTTAATGACAGACCATCTATGAAGAGCCAGGAGTTTCAAGGCTAGTCCTAATGAGAACTCAATGAATAGGAAAAAGTACAAAATTCTCAAATTATGATGAGGAGATCCAAAAAATACTTATGCTCTGCAGTAGATTACATTATGGTTTAGCAAACATTCACTCCCTACCCCCATTAGGCAAATTATTTTCTCCACCTCAGTGATACTAGGTTGAGCCATATGACCTGTTTTGGCCAAGGGAATATGGGTAGCAATGACAGTGTTCCAGCCCTTAAGAGACATGGATCCTCTCAGCTTCCTTTCAGGCTCTACCTTGAGAAAAACTTGCCCCAGGTATCAACTGGTCCTGGGTTCCCAAATTAGATACATGGAGCAGAGCTATCCAAGCTGGCTCACTGACCCAAGCCCAAAGCAGAGCCACCCAGCTGACCCATGAGTACGAGAATAAATACTCACTGTTATATCTCACTAATATCTTGTGGTTATTTGTTACACACATTATTATTGCTTAGGGTTCATAAAATACCATCTGATGCAAGTTGTTTTTAGTAATCCTATTAAGTTAAATATCCCAAATACCCCAAGATATCATGTACTATAAGATCAAAGACTAAAAAATCAGATACATCTTACACTGAGCTCTGAAGGAAAACAGAGGGTGACTATCAAATCACTCAAAGGAGTTCAGTTATTAACTCTCCTTTACTCCTTAATAACTGAAGTCAAGGAATTCACAATAATAATAAAAATATCATTTAACAATACATTCCTAAATTGTCATGTCATGAACTTAAAATTCTTGTGGAAAATGTTTTTTAAATAATCTCTAATCTCAATCATAGTATTTAAAGCATGAACAAAAAGAAATTTTACCCACTTTAAATTTCAAAGGAAAGCTACCACTTAAATGCACACATGAAGAAGCTGTTGAAATTACAACATATGTACAAAACGAAACATATTTAAGGTAAAATGCTCGAGGGTAGATATATTTTTAGTGTGCCCTGAATTCAGATTCATGCATAAACTCTTTTCTCAGAATACATACACACATAACATTCAAAGTACTCTTAATTGGGAAAAGGAGAAAAAACACTACTAATTCAAAGTATGCTACTAAACTAAGATGGCTTCATGTTCAGGTGCAAAAATGTGCCTTGAAATACTTCTAGGACCAATGTCATCACACAACTGTATGCAGTTCAATGCATAAAAGACATTAATTACATCATAACAACATATCATACTGATAATAAATGGTCTTATGTTACAGACAAATGGCAACTTCAGGACCTGAATTAAATTATCCTTTAAGATTACTTGACAAGAAGTAGGATGTGTATACATGTATGTGATATGTATATACATCTCTTACGGGCCTGTGAACCATGCCTAAAATAATCCTAGGTAAGAAATGCATTTAACGGTTCCTTTTATTACGCTGGACTAGGAGAAGAAGGTGAGATAGAGAAGTTAAAGATCTGATGAGTTGTAAGTAGAGGCAACACAAATTCCATGGAGTAAAAATGGTCTTCCCAACCTTTTAGTTTTTATCAACTATTTTCAAAAATATAATTTTTAAATAAAATAAACATTTCTAAAGTGCTAAAATAATTATAAGCATTAAAAAAATCAAGAATTTTATTTTCTCGTTCTGTGGTAAATCGCAACTTAAGCAAGAACTACTTAGAGAACTATTTTTTAAGTATAAATGTTAGAGTCTATGAGTCTCTCCTATGGGTAACTTTAGGTAATTAGAGTGTTTCCCTGCACCTCTAAGCTGTTCTTACTAACATCTGGAAAGTGAAATATATTGAATATATTAAAGAGTTGGCCTCGGACCCAGTGCTATGGTAGATTCCTTTTCCAGAGCGATGTCATACCCATAACTAGTTCTATTTCTTCATTTGTTTACAGTATATAATGTTCCATGATGTATTAATCTCCAGATTTTTTTTCAAGTCATGGCTTCAGAACAAAGCTAAATAAATATGTACATACATATATATACACACACACGTATATACAGTCATGCATCACTTAACAACCAGGGTATATTCTAAAAAATGTGTCGTTAGGCCATTTAGTCATTGTGCTGACATCATAGAGTGTACTTACACACACCTAGATGGTATAGCCTACACACCCAGGCTATATGATACTAATCTTACGGGACCATGGTCACATATGCAGTCCCGTCATTCACCAAAACATCATTATGCAGCACATGACTGTATACATACACACACATACATAGAGGCAGTTTAGCAAATGCAATAGTGTCAACATAAACTATGTATCCATAGTAAGCTTGTGTGCCCTACTCATTTCCTTAAAGTAATCAGTGATTTGTACATCTTCAACTATTCTTTAGTTTCTTAAACTGTTAACTTTCTTTCCTTATAATTCTCTCAGAATGGAACATTTCTTTGCCAAACTGCGGGAGCATGATAACCTAGCACATAGGAATGAATTCTCTCTGTTGTTTTAAACCTATAACCACATTTATTTTACATTGCATTTCTTCAAAAGAACACTCCATTTTCTTTGTCCTCTGAACATGCTGGAGATGGTATATGTGTGCATATATATGTGTGTATAATTCTATTTTATATATATATATGTACATATGCCCGTGGAGGGGGGTGTGTGTGCATGTGTGTGCATCTTGAAAAGAATTCTTAAATCTCCCTTATTGGTACAAAACACTGATACGCATGGTTTGGTTAAATTACCCCTGCCAGGTTTATTATCTACTCTTTTTCCCTGCTGTTAGCATGTGTAATTGTATGGTTTTAAGAACTTGAATGACTCACCATAAAGCAAGCTGAAAAAATAAGGGACAGATGTGTTTCTATGTATTTTTTGAAGGTTGCTAGGATGGGAACCCTTGCAGCTTATTTCGGAATCTCATCTCAGAGGTAGCTTTTGCCTCCTTAGCTTACCTCTCCCTCCCCAATCCTCAACCACTCAACCACTAGAAGGAAGGAATGCTTACACAATAAATGCCACCCACCAACTTGAATGAGGTAGCAAACAATAGTACAATGGCCACCCATCAGCAAGAGAAATGATTATTGCAGTCTCCTCCAGTAAGGTTAAATGAAGAGGAACCTTCCTATGCACAAAAGATAAAGCAAAGCAATTCCCCCCTCCCCTTCAAGCTATGATTAATAGGAGACAGCCTAACAGATCATTTGTGGGAAGAGCTCATAAACAGGACTAGGACTGTTGATCAGATTTCAAAACTTTGGTCTTGATCCTTTAACTGCATAGCAAAACCTACCTCATGGTTAACATAACCAGAAGCAGGCAGGAGCCAAAAGTTTTAATGAGAGGTCAAACTGACAGCAAGAGAGTTGGACTCTTACAATTTCAGGGTCAGACAACTTGTCAACAGAGTCAAATTTCCTCTTTAACAGCAGCCCAGTAAACTTAACATAAGTAGAAGACATAGCCTAGAAGTGGCTGCTGGCAAACCAGTGCTTTATCTTCAAATGAAAAACATCTTAGTAATGAGCTGTTAACTGGTTTAAGCCAAGCAATTACACTTCCAGAGGGAAGTGGCTCTCAGTTTGAGTGTGCAAGGATTCCTTATCTACCCTTATCTATTTTGGAGCCTTTTGTAATTCTCTTCTCTTACTTTCATTATTAGCCAATTGAAAAGAATACTGTATCCTTCATGAGTTGCAATTAGATGTTAATTTAGAAGATGATGTTAAGCCAGATAAGGCTCATTTTGAACTGAGAACTGCATTCCTTCACCGGGGAGACAACAAAAGAAATTGTGGATCTGGTCTCTGTCTTCAATATTACATAAGATGTCCTTGGGTATATACAAGACACACACCTGAAGAAAATTTAGTAGTGGGCCGTGTATCCTATATGCAGTGCAAGCCACTCGAGGTGGAACTGAGGAACGCGGCAGCTGAAGGATACCTGCTGAAGGAGTGCTGAGACTTAGCTCTCGAAAGGACTTGGTCTTGATTGGCAGATTGCATGTTGGCAGAGAGAAGGGGAGTGGAAGAATCACTCCGGCAAGGCACAGAGGTGTGAGCGAGCAAGGGAAAGTCACAAACAGTTTAATAATGGAGTCAGCCTGGAAAGATTGCTGGAACTGGCTTCCATTACTCACCAGTACAGGGTCCTACAGGAAGTTAGTCAACCTCTGGAAATACCCATTCCTTCCTTTTACAAATGGGTATACTTATTTGGCTGTTTGTTTATTAAATGAGATCATGTAGACAAAAAGGTACCTCTTCAAATGTAAAAACCCGATGCTGATATTATTGTTCATGTCGTAACTATTTTTTATTATAAAAGTAGTAAATGTATCTAATGAAAAAGGAAAACAATGCAGAAATACATGAAGTACCCAGTAATAATTTCTTGTAATCTCATCCCACCTGGGTCCCAGGTTGGGGGTGATGGTGAACTGTTTACAATTTCATCTCTACTTGTTCTGTTTTTTTCCTATGCTTGTATAAGCGTATATATATATTATTATTATTTTACAAAAATGAAAACTGTTGCTCTGAACTTGCTTTTTTCACTTAATAATACATCATGATTATTTCTCTGGTCATCTCTGAATATTCATTTATATGACTGTAGTCTAATTAGTTTTACCTGTACCCTACTGATGAACTATATATAAAATTTATACCATTAAGTACATGCATTAAATGCTAAAATAAGCACTTATATGAAGAGATTTCTTTAAGATAAAGTCCTAAAAGTGGAATTGCTGGTTAAAAGATATGCAATTTTTAGAATTATGATAGTTATTATCATAGGTTCCTTTAAAATGCTGAACCAATCTGTTATCCAAAAAGAAAACAGTGTATGAGAATGCCTATTTTTTAATAATATTTAGAATTATTTTTTATAGTTTTTTAATTAAACTTTTTATTTTAAGATAATAACATATTCACATGTCCTTACAAAAAAAAATACAAAGAGATCCCTTATACTCTTTACCCCTTTCCCCCCAATGGTAACATATCATAAGCCTGTAGTACAATATCACAACCCAGATATTGACATTGATAGTCAAGATACCAGGCCTTTCTTTCACCACAAGGATTCTTCGTGCTGTCCTTTTATAGCCACATCCATTTCCCTCCTACCCCCAACCCCCTCTTCAACCTCTGGAAACCACTAATCTGTTTTCCACCTCTATAATTTTTTATTTCAAGAATGTTGTACAAATGGAATCAAACAGTATGTGACCTTTTGAGAATGGCTTTTTTTCACTCAGCATTAATAGCTTTGAGATCCATCCAATTTGTTACATTAATAGTTTTTCTTTTCCCTTTTTATTGCTGAATAGCATTCCATGGTATGAATGTATTGCTGTTTAACCATTACTCTACTTTAGTTGTTTCCAGTTTTGGGCCATTACGAATTAAGCACATCTAGCAATATGTTAAATAAAAATGGTGAGATCAAACATCCTTGCCTTGTTCTCAATCTTAGAGGGACAACATTCAGTCTTTCACCATTAAGTAAAATGCTAGCGGCAGGGTTTTGGTAGTGTAGTAGTCTTCTTTACCAAGTTGAGGTCATTCCTCTTTATTACTAACTTACTGAGAGTTTTTATGATGATTGGGTATAAGATCTTGTCAAACGCTTTCTTTTGTATCAGCTGAATAAATCATATGATTTATCTTCTTTAGCCTTTTAACATGGTGGATTACATTGACTGATTGTCAAATATTGAACCAACCTTGCATAACTGGAATAAAACCTACTTGGTCAAGTTGCATAATTCTTTTTATACATTGCTGATTCAGTTTGCTAATGTTTTAAGGACTTTTGTATCTAAGTTCATGAGAAATATTGGTCTATAGTTTTCTTTTTTTTTTTTGCATTGTCCTTATCTGGTTTTGGTATCAGAGTAATCCTGGCTTCATAAAGTGAGATGGGAAGTATTCCCTTCTCTTCTATCTTCTGGATAAGATTGTGTAAAGTTGGTGTTAAATCTTTTTTTAAATGGTAGAATTCTCCAGTGTGACCATGTGGGCCTGGAGATACTTTTTTGGGAGTTTTTAAATTACAAATTCAATTTTCCTTATTGTTATAGAGCTATTCAAATTACCCATTACTTATTGAGTGAGTTGTAATAGTTTGTGTTTCTGAAGGAATTGGTCCATTTCATCTAAGTTTTCAAATTTATGTACATAGAGTTGTTTGTACTGTTCCCTTATTATCCTTTTGACATTTGCAGGGTACGTAGTGGTATTACCTTTTCCATTCCTGATATTGATAATCTGTTTCTTCTCTTTTTTCGTTGTCAATCTTTCTAAAAGTTGGTCAGTTTTATTGATTGTTTTGAAGAACCAGTTCTTTGTTTTGTTGTTTTTCTGATTTCAGTTTCATTGATTTCTGCTTATACTTATTATTTCCTTCCTTCTATGTACTTTGGGTTTGTTTTGCTGTTCTCTTTCTGGGTTCTTGAGACGGGAACTTAGATTGTTGATTTTAGATTTTTCCTCTTTTCTAATGTATGTATTTATTGCTATAAATTTTGCACTCACTACTACTTTAGCTGAGTCCTACAAATTTTGATATGCTGTATTTTCATTTTCATTCAATTCAATGTATTTTTTTCTATTTGCCTTGGGATTTGCTCTTTGACCTATGGATTATTTAGCAATGTGTTGTTTAGTTTCCAAGTGTTTGGAAAGTTTTCTGTTATCTTTCTGTTATTGATTTCTAATTTGATTCCATTTTGGTAAGAGAAAATACAATTTTAATGCTGTTAAATTTGTTAACATTTGTTTAATGACCCAGAACATAGTCTATCTTGGTATATGTTGCAGATAGGACTGTTTGTAATCTTTGCAAAATATATAGGTAAAAATGAATCCCAAATTTAAATTGATATTTTAAAATTATTAGTAAATATAATTTTTTTCATATGATTAATAGCCTTTTGTAATTCTTCTGTTGGATGAATTTTAGCCATTTTTATTTTGAAGAAGAAGATTGGCCCTGAGCTAACATCTGTTGCCAATCTTCCTCTTTTTCTTTTTTCTCCCCAAAGCCCCAGTACATAGTTGTATATCCTAGTTGTAGAGCCTTCTAGTTCTTCTATGTGGGACGCTGCCTCAGCATGGCTTGATGAGCAGTGAATAGGTGGTCTGTGCCCAGGATCTGAACCAGTGAACCCCAGGCCGCCAAAGTGGAATGCGTAGACTTAACCGCTGTGCCACCAAGCAGGCCCCCTTTTATCCATTTTTAATTTAGTTGTTTGATTTTTATTGATTTGCAGGGGGCTTATATGGTAAGAATATCAGGACTTTGTCAGTCAAATATTTTCATCTGTTTGTAGTTAGTCTTTCACTACTGTTTACTGTGCTTTTTCCATATACAAATTTAAAGTCTTAGGTATTTTAATTTATCAATATTTCCCCTTACATCTTTGTTTTCATGTCATCCTTAGAAAGACCTTCTGTATGCTTTCACAAAATTATGTATATTTTTCTAGAATTTGTTATTATTGCATTTTTACATTTAAAATTTGATTCACTCAGAATGTTTTTAACAATAATAATTTTATCCTAACACTTCTATAGATAATACATAACTAAATAATACTTGATTTGGGATAATTCATATCTATATTTAAATAGGACAGTTATTTTTCATTCATTAAATACAGAGAAGGACAGTCATTTAACATGCACTTCACAGAAGCCAGATATTTTGCTAGGCAGTCTATGTTCTTTGATTTGGATCTCACATCAACTCTGTGAGTTACAGCCTCCTCATTCTGTGAAGAAAATGGAGGCTTAAAGCAGTAAGTAATTTGATAGGGTTGGGATTCAAACCCAGGCATGTCTAATTCCCAAACCCGTGATCTTTCTACTGTTAATCACTGCCTTCACAGAGTCATTAATATGTCACATTTTAATGGTGATTTATATTTTTCAAAGCACACTGCCATTCAAACATTTATTGACCACCTTCTACCTCCCGAGTCTGCGACTATTGATAAGACATAAAATGTAATAAGTCATCGGTGTCTGCCTGTGAGCTACACTTTGTATGTTTTCATCCCTGTTTTTTAGTATAGGGCTATAAAACAGAGGCTACAAATATGCAGTTCACTTGCCTACACTGGCACAATTTAAAACTGCCAGAGAGATTTTGGACACAGGTCCTCTTACTTCCACTGCATGATGACCACCTTCACTGGAGGTCCTCAGCTCACTTCTAATGCAATCCTACAAGCTCCAAGGAGAAGACACTTGGGAGAAGAAATGTGAAAGTAGAATGGGGCAGCAAAAGCCTTCTCAGGCTGAGGGAAACACAACCTGTTCTCCCTTTTCCTGAGTCCCTCAGGGGTTGGGATAATCTAGGATCTTGTCAGTAATCCTTTCTGGTGGTGTGACTCAGGCTTTGTCAAAGGCAAGTAATTTTACTTGCTGATGTTTTTAACAGCAAATAAATTTAATTGCTGATAAAAGCTGATATTTTTAACAGCTTTCTTGAGATATCATTCACATGTCATGCAATTCACCCATTTAAATTGTACCATTCAATGCAATAGTATTTAGTATATTCACAGAGTTGTAGAACCATCACCATGATGAATTTTAAAACATTTTCATCACCCCAAAAGAGAAACACTGTATCCCTTAGCTATAACCCCTATACCTCCCCAGCCCAAGGCAACCACTAATATGTTTTCTGTTACTATATGCGTACCTATTTTGGACATTTCATATAAATGGAATCATACAATATGTGGAATAGTTGATATTTTAAAGACAGAAAAAGCTATCTCACCTGGAGCTTGATTAAAAAAACACTGGTAAAGCAATGTATAAGGTAGATGGAGATCTTAGACATTGCCATTAACATCTATAATCTGTTAACTATCAGAAGATCATGAAGAATGCTTTTAGCAAACATTTCTCACTTCTGATATCTTCTTACCTCTGATTCCTTTGTTCACTCATGCTCCATAAATGAATGTTACAATTTGCTTCAATTCTAAGCAAAATCTCTGTTTATGTAAATATTCAGACAGGTTCTTTTCCCTTAAGCCGAATACCATATTTGCTCCCATTTCTCGTCTGCTACTGCTTCCTCTACACCTACTGCCACGGGACCTTAATTTGGGGGAATTTGAAACTGTCTTTCTCACATAATTTCTCCCCTTTAAATCTTGGTTGTCAGTAGCAGCAGGAGATGTCTTGAAGGCAAGAGAAGAGCAGTTGAAAGTTGTAAACAATCCTGTTTATTGAAAGTAAGAGTGCTCAAGCTCTGTTAATAGTCTTCAATTACTCTTCCCAAGACATCAAAGAATCCTTAAGAAGAAATCATCCAGATGGAGTTACATGGTTGAGAATGCTTTGATTTCCCTCTCTCGGCAAATTAACCCCTGTCTGGTTTTTTTTAATAAGACAAAAGGTATAAAGGTACAATTCAATGAGATCTGAAGGAAATGTAAAAACTCATATGACCACAACGATCAAGTTATAGACTATTTTCTTTACTCCAGAGAGATCTACGGGGCTCACATTCAACCACCCCACCGCTCTAGTTACCCACTGTTCTGATATCTACTATTACAGATTAGTTTTGCCTATTCTTGTGTTTCATAAACATTGAATCGTACAATATGTACTCTTGTGTCTGGCTTCTCAAAGTCAACAAAATGCTTTTGAACTTCATCCAGGTTGTGGCGTGAAACAGTAGCTCATTCCTTTTTTTGGTGCTAATTATTTCATTGACTGAAATTCCTGTATGAAATATCTCATACATTGTATGAAATATATAGAAAGTTACCTATCCATTCGTTGGTTGGTCAACATTTGCAGTTATTCTATTTGGGAGCTATAATGAATACAGCTGCTATGGATAGTCTTGTGCAAGTCTTTCTGTAGACTTGTGCATTCATTTCACTTGGGTAAATTTCTAGAGTGTCTAGTCTACTGTTTACTTTATTTAAAAATTGCCAGTTTTCCAAAGTGGTTGTACCATTTTATAGTCTCACCAGCAATGTATATGAGTGCCCGTTGTTCCACATCCTAAATAACATTTGGAGAATTTAATCTGTTTAATTTTAGTTATTCTAGTAGATGTGAAATAGTATCTCATTGTGATTTTAATTTGCATTTCTCTGACGACTAACGATGTTGAGCACCTTACTTATATATCATTTGTACATCTTCTTTTGCAAAGTATCTGTTCAAGTCTTCTGTCATATTTTTATTTTGTGTTTTTCTTATTAATTTGTGAGAGTTCATTACACATTCTGGACACAAGTCCTTTGACTATTTTCTTCCAACATGTAACTTGCCTTTTTGTTTTCTTAATGAGGTGTTTTGAGAACTTAAAGTTCAGAACTTTAGAAGATGAACATCAGAAGTTGAAGTTCATTTTATTGATGTTTTTCTTTTATGGTTATTGCTTTTGGTGACTTGTCTAAAAAGCCCTTGGCTCTCCCTAAGTCACAAAGATACTCTCTTACATTTTCCTCCAAAAGCTCTATTGTTTTATCTTTTATGTTTATGTCCATGATCCACCTTGAATTAATTTTTGCGTATTGTGTGAGATAGAGATCAAAGTCCATTTCTTCCATGTGCATGTGCAGTTATTCCCGAATCATTTGCTTAAAAAAACTTTCCTTTTCCCATGGAATATCTTCAGCACCTATTTAAAAAAATCAGTGTACCACTAAAGTGTAGGTCTAATTATGGACTCTCTATTCTGTTCCACTGATGTCTTTGCACATTCTTACACCAACACCACACTCTCTTGATCATTATAGATTTATAGTAAGTCTTGATTTCAAGTACTGTTGAGTCTTCATACTTGGTTCTTCTTTTTCAAAATTGTTCAGCTACTCTAGGTTCTTTGTTTTTTCATATCTATTTTATAATCAAATTGCCAATTTATAAAAGGAATAGTTTGTTGAAATTTTTGTTGGAATTGCATTGAATCTAAAAATCAATTTGAGGAGAGTTGACATCTAAACATTCCTAAGTTTTCAAATCCATGAACATGGTATACCTGTGTCTTTATTTAGGTCTTCTTTAATTTCTCCCAGCAATGATTTTCAGTTTTAAGTGTAGAGGTCTTTTACATCTCCTGTTAAATTTAATCCTAAGTATTTTATATTTATGGTGGCATTGTGAATAGCTTTGATTTTTGTAAATTTGATTATCAATTGTTCGCT